TACTACTTGGTTTTTTCACTTCCGAGAAAGAGGAGGGTAAATCCAAACCGATAATACAACCCCAAACCCCCAAAAAGGAATAAAATGGGGCGCCGAACCTTTATGTCCCATCTGGGCTTCATTTGATTATTATCCCCATATGTGCTCTCTCTCTCTCTCTCTAAGCTTCTTTTTTTTTTCTGTGTTTTTTTTTTGGGCGGTTAAACTTTCTGTTGATCATCATCATCAGCGCGCCTCAATGAATGCTTAAGGAAGCGGCAAGCTGAAGCATCAGGGGACTGATGATAATTTGTTCAAAGGACGCTTTGGTGAATATTAGTTTGATTGCTAGCTGGTGGGGAAGATGCCAGACAACAAGTATATTTATTTTCCAACCTTACTTAGCTTTTAGACTTCAGCTTTCATCTTTCATTACCACTGAGGTCCCAATCACAGTGAGTTTAGTGTTTAATTACTTAGAGCTAGCTACCCATATGTCCTTTTTTCCCTTCGAATGATGCGTCTCCTTTTTTGCTGTTTTGAATATACTCGTCCAGTTCTTAATATAGGACTCAATTGTTGAGTTGATTTTTATTCTAAATATAAGACTCATTTTTCATATTTATCAATTTTTTCTAAATTACCCATATAGATACTCCCTCAACCATATATAATCAAGTAGAAGAGGGAGATGGGGTATTAAGAAAGATGATTATAGTGTTTTAGGAAAAATGTGTCACTTTTCTTATAATTAACTAACTTACCTAACTTCCTTAATCTAATTAAATTAGTTAAATAGATCTTATATTAAAGAGCCGAGGAGTACTAAATATACAATCTGACGAAGAAATACATTGTGGGCATAAAGACATGGCATTACTATGGTGTCCACTTGCTGGGTAGGAGAATTTGTGCAACTTTTGGCTTTTATGTTGTCCACTACGCCACTTAAAGCTTATAGTACTTTATTTTTATATCAACTCCTTCATTGATTTTAGCCTTCTCACATCTTAACAGGCGTGCGATCTGCCGTTTTAAGTTCTACTTGTTTTGGCCTGAGAAAACAAAACATACCCATATCTTTTGCTGATTTGTAAGGTGAGGCGTCGTGTTCTCCTCAAAACATTCACAAGATACGACCCTAAATTAGCTTATAATTAATAAGGATTGGACCCGTTTTGCTTTTGTAAGAGTTGAGAGAAGACAGGGCTTTGTGATTGTCTTCAAAGTCGTATCACATGTTATTGTTCGTGTTTGGCACGTTATGAAGCCATACTATGAAGAAACCGCGATTAATTTATTAATCCGAATACTTATTAGACTTCGCATGATACTGGCAATTAATTACGGATTTTTTTATTCACACAATAACTAAAAGTCAAGAGCACGTCTATATAACTTGAGACCCATCAATCTATAGTTATTGATCTTTCGTAGAAAAATGCAAAAAACAAACCTTTAGGAAAAGTAATGCAACATTAAGGAGGAGACATCACGCGACATTATCTTCTAACCTTTAATTACTAAAACAACTGCCCATTCTCCGTCAAGTTATCAATATTTTAATACGAAAAACATATGATATTATTGTTGTTGTTATTACCTCCGGTCCTATTTATAAGACCTCATTTGTAGATTATAAATAAGATCTTATAAATAGAATTAGATGTGGTATTAATTATATGATTTTACAAGCATCAACGTCAAGAGTTAGCTCCATGAATATAATATAACTCATTATTCATATGTCAATGGCCCCCACATTTTCCAAGTGGTGCCTCTTCAGCTGAGCATATAGTGTTAGTAGAAACCTGAAATAAAGACAGTGATTTGGCTGGCTGCGTGGAGTGCACGATTCAGATGGGATTGAGGGCTTGAACTTTAAATACAGATTGCAATCCTAAAAGATTTATATGTTTATGCTTTAATTTGGAGATGAAAATAATTTTTTTCTGCAGAAGAAATATAAAGGGTCCCCATGCATTCTAAGATTCTGGTTGGGGTACTTTGTCGGCCAAATATAGGAATATCCGATGTTGAGGCAGCATGCGTATGGATAACAACTTCATTAAAAAGGAAGACACTAACACGTGAGACCCAAGTTTACAGCCACTCATTTTTACATTTGGATTAACTTTTACTCTTACAATATCTTCAGGGCTAATAAGGGTTGCCTTCATTAATTATTTTAACGAATTCAAAAGCAGCCTGTGCAAGTTGCACTCTCACACATAATGTTTGCGGGCAGATTAAACCAAAAAGATCCTCTGAAGTAAGGGTCGAGATTAGGCTTCTCTCTCTCAATCCTCTGAACAACTAAAATTAAAAAAAAACTTTTTATATACGCAACAAATTATAGCCACGAGCTAGTAGCTTTTATTAAGAACTAGTTCGATTAATGCATGTCTGATATTACAACTTGGCTTGTTTGTTTTCCCTCGGCCGGTCTCACGTACGAGTAGATTAATTAGAAAACTGACCTAAATCAAATAGATCGACAATAATGATGGTAGGAAGACTTTCCAGAATATATTTCAATTAATGGGATTGGAAGTTGGGCGGCCATTCATTAATTAGAATGGACTTTTGTCAACGCCTGAATTAATTAAGGATGCAAGGTTTATTGCCAAGAGAATAGCATTACTTCTCCTTAATTGCATGCATCAAAGTGGCTAGCACATTCATTTCCATTGTGTCTCATTAGACAAAACACAATGACTCTTGAAAGAAAACAACGTATAGTAACTAACGAATTTCTTTTGGGGGCAGTTAAAGAGCCTTGCATGTCTCTCCACTATGACTGTCAAAACCCTACATCAGTAAAGCCATATTCCAACCTTTTTGACTCCTCCACTGGTATTTATTATTTATATATCGAGATCGAGCATCACATTTCTTTATACATATTTTGTGTAGAACTAATCAATGCCTACACACTAGGCTGGCTTTTGTTCTTCTGTTTCAGGTCTCATTAACAAAATAATGCAAATGGATTCTCCCAATAACCCTGAAGTGACCTTCGCTTCACTTTATGTCAAGCAACCGAAACTTTATGTTCAGCCAATTAGTATCTATTAGTTCCATATCTTGTATCGGCACATGAGAGAGGGTTTCAAAAATATTAATACACAGTAAGAATTTTTAATTAAGTACAGTGAATACGATGCTGCGAGTCCCTAGACACTTTAGAATCTTCAAATAGTTTACTAACATAAACATATCAGATTATTCTAATAAACTAATGTACTGTTTGAATATGAGTCATGTCAGCTAGAAGTCAGCAGATGCGAGATAGATCAAACAATTTTGAATAATATTACCTACAAATCATTTTTATTGACGGGAAGAACAAAATCAAGTAGACATAATTAGTGGGTAATAAAAACAAAGTTAGGGGAAGATGAAGAGAAGGAAGAAGTCACAGGAAAAGGAGTGGTTAAGTCCGCCATGGGTGGGGTCCTAACGGCTCATACCTGTCGGGTAGGGAAACCCTAGAAAGAGAATCATGGATGCCAACTTTTTTTAAAACCGCGTGCTCTCCATTACCTCCCATATTTTTTTTTTTGCCCATTAAATAATATTATTATTTTGAAGAAAAACGGGTCACTTGGATTCAATTCTTTTATCTTTTTAAGAAAAAGGAAATTTTATCAAAGTCTTTAGGTGGGTCGTCAATTTCATCTCCAATCATATCACGTCGTATGGGTAATTGGAATCCCAAGAGGCCGGTTACACAAAACCTGGGTCCCCCTTAACTAAACTTTACATTAAACTGGATATTTTTCCTGTACAGAATAAAAATAATCATTATATTATACAACTATTTTAACTCAATGATATATTAATGTGAACAAAACTTTACGTGAAAAATTCAAAATTTAAATTCAAAAAACAATAATTTGATTGGCGTATGAATGGGGTAACAAATTGGAATTTTTGTTCAGAGAGTGTGATTCAATTGACAGATGTTGTTCATATCTTCTATATAAACAAATAAAAAGCTTCATTGATAAGTAATTACCGGTATTTATAAATTATTTTTGAGTTTTGAGAGTTGCCCTCACCACCCACGTAAAAAAAGTTGGAACTTTCACTAAGCAAGTTGAAGATAAAATGGAGATAAAATAAGATGTTTACATTTGATTATAATGACAAAGGTGAAACATCTTGGTAAGACACGAATGTAAAATGCTGGGGAAAATCCATATTTAGTTGGAAAGAGAAAGATCTGTTTTTTCAAGCGAAGAAAAAGGTTTCTTTTAAAATCGAAAGGTTCCAAAATAGTCCGTGAATTCACGCGGTTTTGGATCTCCAAGTCTAATAGAAAAGGGACGGTCCATTTGTCCCATTATTCCGACCCCCCAAATCTTGGCTTGTGAGGAGGATTTGAACAATAAATCGCTAAATAAAAGATTCTAAAAATTATCAAATCATTTGAACTAGTGCAATATATAACTTTAAGAGAGTGTGTGATTGCCCCCCTATATTTAAAAAGTGGAAGCATGTGAGTAAAATTGATTTGGTTGTTAGTTTTAGATACTGCGGCGAGGCCAATTGAAAAATCTGGTATTTTCTGATTCCTGTTTGGTGCAAACAGATAATGAAATGCTTGAGGAGGACAGGGATGAGGGCGGAAGCAAAGAATGTCTTGGGTTGTGGGGCTATGATTCACATGATTATCCAAACAAACAAAACCAAAAAGAAAGGATTAGCAGTCGAAGTAGGCATATATATGGAAAGATAAAGTTCTTACGAGGAGGCCCCACACGGTTTCCTCTATATGTCTCTCCAAGAACATGATGCTCCCATTTTGTTATTGACTATCAGCCTCATTTCACATGGCTGCACATTTTGCTCTCTAAATCAAATCACTTTTCTAGAAAAAGTTCGCCTCTTTCTCTTACCCCTTCACGAATAATAGTATTTCTATTCTAGTGCTATTCTTTTCAACGTTGTTTGTCGTCTTTTGATTCGGGTCTCAAAAGCTTGGTCCAATTAAATTAGCCCGTTTCAGAGATTTCTTTGTTTAAAGCCCAGCTCCAATACCTTAACATAACATGTACACCAAAATCAAGTTCGAGACAACACCACCCGGAACCCACATACATGGACGGCCCAAATATTTGACACAAAATAGCGAGAATATTCAAATGAATGATCATAAAAACAGAGTACACACTTGAAGAATATAATTCCGACTTCTCTGTACGTGTGAGTTGATTTGAGTTATTATTCAAGACGACGCATCTTGACATTTAGAGGAATCTCCTTGTAAGATTGAACCTTTTCAGCTGCTTTTCGCGATGGTCTTCCGAATGAAGATCTTGGACCTTGGTGTCCTAAGCCAGAGTTTTCTCCAGTGACAGCATATTTAGCATCTTCTATCTCGAACAAATCCTCCAATGCTTCGCGTTCATGTGTTGTGACTTTGGCAGAATGCCTTCGCGAACTTGGCCTGAAGCACAAGACAAGAGAAGAGAGACTTCGTAAACTGAAATGCTGTCGAGAGAGATGAAGAAAACTGTTGGTGACATTGAAATGTGAACCAACCTTTTGTCTTCGGACTTCTTTTTGCATGCATCCCTCGTAGAAGTAGTAGAAGAAGAACCAGTGGCTGCATGCCATTTCCATATCACAGATAAACAAATTTAACAACAAACAATATGTAAGAAGTTTTCAGAGGAAGAATAGTAGTCCAAGAATTTACATCTCCTCGTGTTTCGTCTTCTGTTTCGGCTGCTGTTTTTCCCTTCATTGCTAGCTCTAGGCGATGGCCGTGCTGTTTTTTCCTCCACTTCCTTTAGTCAATCAACATAAGTAGTATGTAAACAAACACGTGAAATAACAGTCATCAATGCTAGTTCTAATTTGGGAAACGAACGTGTGAGGGTTTTAGTGTAGGCACCTGAGACAATGGTATATTATCTTCATCCCTCGCTTCCACTTTACCCTGCAAAATTAACATTTAGAATGAATGCAGGAAAATTTTCCGATCCTTTTCCAGACTTAATCAATTATTACAACTAGAATGAACTTAATCATTCATCACGACACGTGCATCTATGTCATGATATGAATTTTCTGCATAACATCTCCCCAAAGACAGCATCAAATTAAATACATTTTGATTTTTGATTTTAGAAAAATGGTGATACCGCCTCACTGGATAGAACTATTTAAATACATGTCCGGAAGGCTTTAACTATCACCCTCCAACAACTATTTCTATCAAGTCATGCTGACTGCATGCTGCCATATATCAAATTGACTGTGATAGAGAGTGAAGAACACGCATACCTCCACTCCAAAGTTCATTCCTTTCAGCAAGGCAGCTCTACATACAATGTCATGCTGCAGTGCTTTAATCTGAAATGAGGATTGCCAAAAAGAATTAGTCAGACGGGCAATTTAAGTCGAAGTTGTCCATCAATAGCTTATATGTTTCGGGAAGGTTGGAGACATTGACTCACCCTTTCCCTTCCTAAATTAAGCTCCTGCAAAATCAGTTAGGCTTGATTAATATAACTGTCAACTTATAATTCATGTATAGTTACATTAGATTCGCATTGCAACTTGTAGACTAACCGCTAGCATATGTGTGTTTGACTGAGCAAGATTCCAATTCTGTAGCTGGAGTTTCTGAATATTAGTTCGCAGTCTCTGCAGCTCAGATCCAGTCAATTCGATAATTTTACTGTTGAAATATTCATTAAAGAAAAACTGATTTCTCCCCAATTTTGACACCAACTGAGGAAGTATGATAAATTGAGTTTGCATCCAACTATACGTGTTTACCCAGATCCCAAAGATGTTAACCTATTATTTTGTCCGCAAATTATTACAAGGGAAAAACAAAATCTAAAGAAGAAATGATCAAAGGATACTTTCTTTCCGCAAGGAGTTGCAACAGCGTCACTCTTTCCTGCATCGGAAATTCATGGGGATTAAAAAATGAACAAAAGAAGACTGGCATCGCATGGAAACTGAGAGCGCCAGCCAAAAAAAAAAATTGTACCTTCAGCAATTGCTCGATGCAATCCTTGTTGGCGGGGAGATTCTCAGGCAAATTTTCTTCAATATTGGGAAGTTGAGGCTGGGGCTGCGAATTCGTAATATCAGACAGCTTCTTCCGCATTAAACTTCCTATTGATCTCTTCGCCATGCCCTCCCCTTTCATACTCCCCAGTTCATGTAAAGTGGGAGAGTTCGGAGAAACCCAAGAAACGAACGGCACTGAGAAACAATAGAAAGAGGATTTTGTGGTTTTGAAGGGAGGAAGTAAGGGTATTGAAACCTACTCACGGCAAGAAATTGATGTTTCGGATGAAAGGCGTCAAAGACAATGAACGATTTTACTTTATGAGGATAAAGGATGGGAATCGATCAGAATAAAGACCCTAATGAAATCCTTTATGCTCCTATATCTGCTTTTCTTTTGTTGCCTTCGTGTTTTGATTGTGAGAAGAACAGAATGGAAGAAAGAAAAGAAGCGATAGGGAAAGCAACGGCTGAATTAACTGGAACTGGCGCTTGGTTGTCCAACGGCTTTCCGAAGCAAACTGCCCTGCTTTGTTATCCGCACCTAATTTTCAAAGTGATCCGAACCTCTTCCCAAAACACGTTTTCAGACCATTCAAAAATCATGCTTATAAAAATTGGGGTTTATCACCACCCCCTCCCCCAAAAAAGAAAAAAAAAACAACTAACTTATTTATTTTAGTTTAATCGCTTAATGTTTAATTTGTATGTTTTACTTAAGGATTAATTTAAAATGGTTTGTATTATTTTTAATACTTTAATAATTTTTTAATTTTTAATTTTTAAGTTTCCAAGTCACCACAAGTCCTATTCAACACACTACCCCTTGAGTTGCCCCGCTGGATATCAAATAAAATGTTGGGTCATAATTTTATGGCTGGCGAAAAAAAAAAACACAAACAAGAAGAAGAAGAAGCCTTTTTTGTTTGGATAGCTTTTTGGGCTTAAATAGCTTACTAAGGTCCTCTTCTCCAGCATACCTACCCATTTTGAGGCCATCGCTCTTCAGCCCATTTTGTTCGGCCTCACCGTGGTTCCCCAACATCTGGGTTTCATTTTAGCTGCTTGACTGCGCCACAGCACCACCCCTCCCAACCCAAAAAAAAAAAACCCACACACACAAACGGAGAAATTCCCCCGATTTATCAATGAGAAATAATAAATTCACATTGGCATGCAGTAATTAAAATATTTATTCCCTTTGCACTAATTTTTTATACACATATATATGTAATGTGCAAAACTGATTTTAGCTAGGCGTTTGTTCCTCCAGTTTCTTTGATGGTTCATTTTCCTTGCATCCACCTCGTCAGCATCTCCAGTGCAGGCTTGGGTTGATCCATAGGAACCAAGTGCCCAGCCTCATGAATCTGTCAGTCCATTCACAAACCTCAGGCTAGGAACGAACGCATCGCAATTGTATTATGCACAAAAACTACACATAATATATAACACAAAACCTTAAGGAAACTCAGAGGTTCATGGCTTTGCAATATTCCTGCCTCTTTACCATCGACCACGAAGGACACATTTGGAGATGCCAAAAATGCCTTCTGACCTGACCACTCCATCGCATCAACCCATCTCGCATTTCCTGCATAATGCCACACACAGGATGGAATATAATATGAGGTTGCCTGGAAACAAAGAGTCATTTTTAATTACCATTATTTTGTTAATATATAGGAAAAGCACTTAGGATTTCAACGGCTTACCAAGCCAGTTGCAAATAAGATCCTTTTCTCCGGCATACACTAGCATTCTAATACCATCTTCAAGAAGAGCTGGAATACCCACTTCTAGGTTTCTCATCCAATCATTCCTCATAGCAGCGTATACAACATCACTACACGAAACATATTTCGAGTCTCCAACACCTAAAGCTTCCCTCACTTCTTTCTTGTTTAGGAATGTCTCCATGCTTGAAAAATCATAGCACGAAGGCCCCTTGTCGCATTTCTTTCTTATGTCATAGTACTGCACAAAATTAAGCACCATCCTATCTTGTATTATTACAAGATTTATATATAGTAACCTCAAATTAAATACACATGAATCACTCTGCATTCTCAAGCAGTCTCTTACATTAACATTCCCAGCAGCGACCAATATTTGTTCGAATATGTCTTGATTACATTCATAGAAAGCAGTCTCGCAAGCATCTCCACCTTTTTTGCCTATCAAATTTTAACAAAAAGTTAGATGTATCCCAATAAATAAATAAATTATTTCTTTTTTTGTTAACTGAGAAGTTTAAATGAGTTGGATCATTTGTTGTGATAAAAACTGAAATTTAACTTGTTTTGGCTTTAGCTTATATTTTTGTCTTTTGTAGAGCTAAAGAGATCTTTAGAATTATTATAATTTTTAAAATACCTCGTTTAAAAACAGGATTGAAAAGTTCAAGAATGATTAGAGAAAGAAGATAAGATTAAACTGGTGAGGGCAAGTATAAATACTACCGCATTCCTGTATTGAGTGCAAACATGGAGGGAGCATCGTGTTGATACGGTTATAATCGTCACGATTAATCAAACCGTTCTCTAATGAAAAGTCCGTGTAAGCTGCGTATTGAATTTCAGGATTGGTATGCCCATTCCCAATAGCAATCCCTGCATGTTCAACCAATTAATTAATCAATGCTATAATATATATACCAGCAACATGAAACAAGATGATTAATAGATATAGTTAGTGCATGTGAGACCTTAAGGTTTATATGAATTCCTTCTTTTGCCTTGTTTGCTTGATGAATCCGAGAAGCAATGGCCGGAATATAATGTCCCGCGTACGATTCTCCGGTAATATAGAAGTCATTCTCAACAAACTGAGAGTGCTCCTTGAAAAATGCCTGACATACATATGACTATTCTAAAACTTAGTCTACTACCAATCAGCTAATATATACAGACACAGATTGGCTTGGATCGACGCTGTTTATTAATATATATACCTGTAAGAAGTCAAACAAGTCATTGCTAACGGTTTCTTCGTTATGGGGAATGTCACTCTCATTAGAAGCATGGCTAAAACCTGTCCCGATTGGTTGGTCCACATATATAATATTTGATACCTACAAATTAAAATGATGAGGGAACATGTCTTGGCTGATCACTCAGCAAAACAAGAATCTGCATTTTACGCACGTCGTACCTTGTCCCAGCCATAGTCATTCCATTCAAGAGACAAGTCCTTTGTAATATGAAAAGGACCGTTCTCATAAAACAAAGCCAGTTCACTGCCACAGCCTGGGCCCCCAGTTAACCATATCACAACAGGGTCCTTCTTACTGTTACGGGATTCGAAGAATAAGTAGAACATCCTGCAAGTTAACGACACGGTCCATCAAGGCCTTTGAAATTAATTTCTGACTTCATCATAATTAATCTAACAGGTACAAACCAGGTAATGAGAGTATATTACAATAAGGATTATTTACCTTTCACCATGGGCATGTGGAAGTCCATAATAGCCAGCATGGTGACCAAAGTCTTCAACAGAAGGGCCCCCAGCAGCATCAAGGTAGGGGAATCTGAACTTCTTCTCAACGATCTTGCCCGGAGGGACTGAGAGAGAGTCATGGGATACAGAGCATTTGTAATGTTTCGGGGAAAGGTTGAGCTCTCTGATCAGCTTCTCTGCTTCATGTTGAAGGTACTGGGACCTTGAAGACAAGGGAAGGTCATTGCTGGCCACGGAGGAGAAGGATGAGAGGAAGACGAACAAGAGAAAAGATAGAGAGATTCGGGGGAGGCCTGATGATACTGATGCCGCCATTGCTGTCTAGTCCCATTGTGTCGATGCTAATTTATAGTATTCCTCCTGCAGGTCCCAATTAATGCTGCTAACTGAATTCGTAAATTCAGAAGCATAAATTAAAAACCATAATTGCTATTCATCACTAGTCTTTCTTACTACCTCTTATCCTAATTATAAGATTTTATTTATAATGTACAGATGAGATTTTATAATTAGCACAAGAGATAGTATTATTTAAGTCACTTCAATAAAGAAGTTTTTTGTTTATTTAGTCATTTAATTTGTAGGGTATTTAATGATAGTTTTCTAATTTTACCTTTACTTTTTTTTTGGGAATGAGATTAAAACAAGACATGTGGAAATAATTTGTAACTATAAAAAAAATTAATAAGGATAAAATTATTAATTTAATGTATTTTTTGATATGTGAAAAAGTTACAAATAACTTATAATACACTCCTCTAGTCAGAGAGAGAAGTTTTTTTTTTGTCTTGTTTATAAGTCACTTCATTAAATTTTCAGCATGAATATACTATTTTGTCCTTCATTTATTATAGTGTAGATAATTATCTCTTTTGAAATGTGCATATATTAAATATGAATAAAGTTAAAAATTTGTTATATTTTAATAGAGAGTTAATGCATTTTAAGATTTTTCTTAGTTTGTATGAAATATGCTTGAATTGCCTTATATATAGGATAAGAGGAGTAATTCAAAGGGGCAAGTGATAATCATATTTTAAACTGACTTGCCTTTTGCTTTCAATTATCTTGTCTTTTTGTCAAATTAGTAAGATTTGACTTTGATGCATTAACTTCTTTGTAACAAGAGAATCTGAAATTCATGCATGTATATTTATAAAGAAAATCCGAAATTTAATGTCTTTGACTACTGTAATACTCTCTCTATTCTTTTTTTTTAAAGGACATGTTTAACAATTTTACATTGACTTAAAAAATCTGTTAAAATTAACTACTCTCATTAAATGCACGTGTCCATATTTTCAGTCATTTTTCAAAATTACTCCTCTTCTCGGTAAAATTTATTAAATTCGTGTACTCTTCTCTTGTCTGTCTAGGTTACTTAAGAAAAATGAGTGATTAATATTTTTAGAAGTATGTAAAGTCTTGTACAAAGAAAAGAAGTTAACAATGCTTAAAAAAACAAAATGAAGATCACTGTTAAAAATATTTTCAAAGCAATGTCTTTTCTTTTCTTTTTTTTTTGGTGGGAGAAAACGACCTCTTCGCCCATATTGGGCAAGTAGCATTAAAATCTCCTACAGGCAACAATTAAAATGGGTAAATCACAGTATTATTTTAATGTTTTGAGCCGGGAAAAAAAACGTTAACGTACCCGATTAAATTTCATTGGGCTTACTTAATAATTGGGTTTGGCCCAATAATACCTTGGGCCGATCATCCTTTTGCCTCTGGCTGCCTCATATTTTGGAATGTGCCTCTTGGGCCTTTTTTTTTTTTTAAAATAGAGCCACTCAATCTTTAATTCAAACTTTCTCACTCCTCAAATTATACTTTTTTTTTTAATTGTGTGTGTACACTTTAGAGGAGAATTTGGAAAAGAAATACACCACGTCAAGTAGTTTGATAACGATTTTATGAATGTGTGACTTCATTCTAATTCTAAACTTCGTCGTCCAATATGTTTTATATCGTATCAATACACAAGGCATTCAAATTTTTATTATAATGTACAAAGTGTTTTAACTTTCAATGCACACCATAACAATTCACGCGGGCTTAAATCAAGATTTGAGAGAGATGAAATGGCGTGTGAACGTGGCCTGAGTGGTAATGAAAGTGGTTGGAAAACACTGTGAGTCTTCTTATTCCCACCGCAAATAATGAACGTGGGCTTTTAACATTAATTTGCTCCAACTTTCCATTCATGTCTTCTGTACAGAAATGAGTTTAACTATGCATTTATTCCTCTTTCATGTGATGGTTAATTTTCCTTGCATCCACCTCGTCAACATCTCTAATGCAACCTTGGGTTGATCCATAGGGACCATGTGCCCAGCCTCATGGATCTGCATTAGTTCATTCACAAACCTCATCAGAACATGTTCGTTCACAAACATGCATCAGATTAAACTAAGAGTGATTGCAATATATGAATTTCATATATAACCCAAACCTTAAGAAGACTCAGAGGTCCATGGCTCTGCAACCTGCCTGCCTCTTTACCATCAACCACGAAGGACACATTTGGGGAAGCCAAAAATGCTTCCTGACCTGACCACTCCATCGCATCAACCCACCTTGCGTTTCCTGCAGAGTGCCAAATCAAACACGGGACAGAATACAATTAATTAAGGTTGCCTTAAATCATGACAGACTTCTTTAAGGTTTTTTACTTGCTGATAAGGAACAGCACGTAGGCTTTCAAAGGCTTAATTAATTACCAAGCCAATTGCAAATAAGATCCTTGTCTCCGGCATAGACAAGCATTCTAATACCATCTTCAAGAAGAGCAGGAATGCCCGGTTCCAGGTTTCTCATCCAGTCATACCTCAAGGCAGCATAAACTGCCACACTGCATGAAACAAATTTCAAGTCTCCAACACCTAAAGCATCCTTCACTTCTTTCTCGTTTAGGAATTGCTCCATGCTTGAAAAATCATAGCACATAGGCCCCTCATCACATCTCTTTCTTATGTCATAGAACTGCAGTACAATTAAGCATGCGTATATAATTAATAGGATTTATCGTAAACTCAAAATTACACACACACACACACATCCCTCCCATTCTCAAGAAGTCTCTTACATTAATATTGCCAGCTATTGCTAGGATTTCGCCATATATGTTTTCATTGCAATTATAGTAAGCGGATTCGCAAACATCTCCACCTTTTTTACCTATCAATTAAATAAAAAGTTAGAGATGTCTCAATAAATGAGTAGGTAAATTATTCTTTCTTCTTTGAAGAGTTTAAATGAGTTGGGCATGGTTTATTATAATTTATTGTGATAAAAGATGAGTAAACTTCAAGTTGTTTTGACTTGAAAATAGGCTTTAATTTATATAGCCTGGGTTGTATATATTATGCATGATAACTGTGAATATAATTGAAAGTAGAGACAGAATTCAAAGATGTTTTGACTTTTTGAGTTTTGGGAAATAAAGTACTCCCTCCGTTCCTTATTATAAGAGACATTTGATGCTTATGGCATGTTCCTATATATAAGAGACACTTAAAAGTTGTCTCTACTTTTTTTTGTTGATTTTCTATTTTATCCATATTTATTGTTTCCAACTCACATTCTCTCTCCTTCCCATTTCTCTTTCTTTTAAAAATTTACCATTGTTATCTCTTATGCTCTCTCTCCTTATTAATGAGGGCATTTTTGAAAAAAAATTATACTTTTTACACATTAATTGTTCTTAACTAATTTTAACTGTTTTTTTTATCAACGTAATTCGGTTATTCGTCTCTTATAATAAGGAACGGAGGGAGTAGAAGAGAGAATTAAATGGAAGATCGAGGGCAAGTGATAGTACCGCAATCTTGTATTAATTGCAAACATGGGGCGAGCATCTTGGTGATACGGTTATAATCGTCACCGTTAATTATATTATTCTCCAACGCAAAGTCCGTATAAGCTGCAAATTGCATTTCGGGATTGGTATCCCCATTCCCAATGGCAAAACCCTGCATGTTCCACCAATTAATTATTTTTGTTTTTTGCCATCTTCAAGCAATTAATTAATCAATGCTAATACTATGTATATTCCAATAACATGAAACAAGTAGATTAATAAATAGCCAGTGCCTAGCGTATGAGACCTGGAGGTTTATATGAATTCCTTCTTTTGCTTTGTTTGCTTGATGAATCCGAGAAGCAACGGCCGGAATATAATGCCCCGCGTACGATTCTCCAGTAACATAGAAGTCATTCTGAACAAATTGAGGGTGCTCCATAAAAAATGCCTGCAGCCATGATTATTCTACAGCTTGGTCTGTTTCAGTTCATTAATTGATAAACACACAGAGGTTAATTAGCTTGAATTTGATGTCGTTAATTACCTGCAAGAAGTCAAGCAAGTCATTGCTAATCCCTTCTTCGTCATGGCGAATGTCATTTTCATCCGAAGCATGGCTAAAACCTGTCCCGATTGGTTGGTCTACGAACAGAATGTTGGATACCTACAGATTAAAATGATGAATGAACACGTCTCAACTGATCACTCAGCAAACAAGAAGCTAAGAAAAAATATATTACTCTACGTTGCGTGCATACCTTGTCCCAGCCATAGTCATTCCACACAAGAGACAAGTCTTGTGTGATATGGAAAGGACCATTCTCATAAAACAAAGCCAGTTCGCTGCCGCAACCTGGTCCTCCAGTTAGCCATACCACAACAGGGTCCTTCTTACTGTTCCGGGATTCGAAGAATAAGTAGAACATCCTTCAAATGACACGATCAAGATCATAAGATTAATCATGCATGGCTTCCGAATTTATTTTTAGTTACTTGATCATAGTCATATATCAAACAAACCGATTAAAAAGAAGAGTATATTAAAAGGATTACTTTTCACCATGAGAATGTGGAAGTCCATAATAGCCAGCATGGTGACCGAAGTCTCGAACAGAAGGCCCAGCAGCAGCATCAATGTTGGGGAATCTAAACTTCTTCTCAACGATCTTGCCCGCCGGGACTAAGAGAGAGTCATGGGATACAGAGTGTTTATTATAATGTTTTGGGGAAAGGTTAAGCTCTCTGATAAGCTTTTCTGCTTCTTGTTGAAGGTACTGGGATCCTGAAGGCAAGGGAAGGTCATTGTTGGAGGCAGATGAGACAGGTGAAAGGAAGACGAACAAGAGAAAAGATAGAGAGATTTGAAGGAGGCCTGATGATGATGCCATTGCTCTAGCTTCTGAATGTCAAGTCCCATGGCGTTGCTGCTAACAATTTATAGTAATGCTCCAGCAGGTGCCAATTAATGTGAGTATGAAGCTGTTAACTGAATCCATAAATTCAGAAGTATAGATCAACAATGACCATTATTACAGGCAATTAATTTTTATAACAAATTTTTTAACTGAATATTGTCGACATTTATTGTCATTTTTTCTATGCTTTCAATTACTTTGTCTTTTAGTTAAACAGTTGACATTTTGACTCTGATGGATTAACTTCATTAGAACAAGTCTCATATTTATATATAATAAACGTTGATACCAATTCATGCACTATATATAAAGAGAATCTCAAAATTACGGTTTATTTAACTAATATATTTAATTGTAACTTGTTTCTTTTCTGTAAACAAAATCGCTGTTAGAAGAAATTTCACTGCAAATGTCTACAAGCATCTTGGCTGCTTCTTTTCTTATAATGGGCAACTAGTTGTTGACAAATATGCTTCATGGTTTCCCAGCTAGCATTATGTTAATGTGGAGTATCTCTCTTGCATTTCAGCTGCCGCTTCCCATTTCCTTGCTTCGGGTATTCTAAATGCAACTCCTCCACTTCGCATCTTAGATGCTCCAGTGAATAAACTAATATTTTTTTTTGGGAGTCTGAATGCTTTCCACTAAGCCTCAATTGAAATATACTAATCTTTAAATTGTGATTTGATTATGTTGAGGAAAAAGTTATTAAATTATTTTTTAAAGACTTCTCTATAATTTTATAAGAAATTTATACTTCTTTAATATCATCAGATCACAGTCAAATTATTAATACCCCTTAGCTGGGACTCAATTTAGAGGATCCAAATCATTTTTTTTTACGACGAATTTCACACTAATATATTTATTATTCTGAACCAAAAATTTTAAACTGGCCTGACAATTGTTTTTTTTGGGGCACAAACGGGCTTGATTAAATTTCATTGGGGTTTGCTTATAATTGGTTATTAGGTTGGACCAGTAAGATTTTGGTCCAAGTAGGCCGGCACCCTTTTGCCTCTTATATTTTTGGCATGCACGCCCTTTTGTTTTAATTGGAGATGTCTCCCCCAAGTATTTTTTTTAAAATAATAATTACATACAATGAGAATCTGTAGAAGAAACTTGATTCTCATTTGAAATTTCACTCATTATACAATACTATCTTTTACGTCGTACAAATACAATACATCGAAATTGTCAATTTCAAGCTATATACAAAGCGCTTTAAATTTTAATGCGCATCAAAATATATGGATGGCTTCAGGCCAGACAGGATTAAGTCTTACGTGAGAACATGTTGGCAAATATTCGATTCATCTCATTCACATCACAAATAATTGATACATACAGAATAGTCTCGTATCGGTGTATTTTTTCACAAACTCTTTTTCTTTTTTGTTCTTTTAGCTATTTGGCTATCGACTCAATATGTATCATCGTGCTCTACCCACATGTTTATTTTAATAATTTATTACTGAAAAATATGAATATAAATTAGGGGGAAAATTTAGCCACGTAGATTCTGTAGAAAAAGAAGCACATATATTGAAAGAGTGACTTAATAAAAAGGAAATTAACCAAAAAGCTTCAGTGATAACTAATCATTAAACGCAGATGTAAATCGTTTCGGGAATCTTAGATTGGTTTTGATGTGGAGGATAATTTGGCTTGCATCCAGCGGGTGAGCATCTCCAGCGCAGCTTTGGGTTGATCCATAGGGACCATATGCCCAGCCTCAGTCACCTTTATAAAACTCAACTAAATTACCACTTGCTCCATTCGTAACCCCAATATAATCATCAAATTAACAAATTAAACAAACAACTCAACAGGAACGAACCTTGAGGAAAGTGAGGGGTTCGTGGGTTTTTAGTGTTCCTGCCTGTTTGCCATCAACCAGGAACGTCACGTTAGGAGACGCCCCGAACTGTTTCTGACCCGACCACTTCATCGCGTGAACCCATCTCCAATTCCCTACATGCAAGTTCATTAGTTAATTAAAAAGCAGATTCACATGCATGATGATTAATTGAAGATGATGAAGTACCAAGCCAATTGCAGATGAGATCCTGTTCGCCAGCATACACAAGCACCTTAATACCATCCTCCAGAAGAGCAGGGATCCCCACTGCCAGATTCCTCATCCAGTCCTGCGCCATCGAATCATACACTTCACTGCTGCATGACACAAACTCCAACTCTTCATTCACACCAAGCGCTTCCTTCACTTCCCTCTCGTTTAACAGTCTCTCTACGCCTGAGAAGTCGTAGCACAGTTCTCCTTCACATTCCTTCCTTATGTCATAATACTGCAGTTTTCCCGCATCCACTGTTATATTTCTCATAAATTAACAGCTTAGACAGCATAGTATAGTGTAGTTTCTTACATTAATATTGTTGCCTGTCACACTTAATATCTGCCCGAATATTGCTTGGCAATCCGTGTAAGAAGACAAGCAAGCATCTCCACCTTCCCTCCCTGAAAATTCAGTGACAAACTAAATTGACCCCTCCTGTCTCCCCGATAACCAATCTTCTCTCTTGTAAAATTACACAATTATGAATTCTCTTTCGTGGTAGAGAGAATGATTTGCCCAAATTAATAAGTGAGGTGAGGTGAGAGTGTAAAGGTAAAGACAGGGGAGGGGCAACAAGTACCACAAGCTTGTATTGACTGCGAGCATGAAGGGATTAACTGATTGATCCTGTCGTAATCATCTTTTTGGATCAAGCCATTCTCCAATGCGAAGTCCGTATATGCTGGGTACTGAATTGCAGGATTGGTCAGTCCATTCCCAATAGCGATTCCCTGTTCATCATATTAAACTAAGTTTATTGATGAAATCATAAATGAAAGAATTACGTCACAAGTGTATTGTACAGTGTGAGACCTTAAGGTTTATATGAATTCCTTCGTTTGCCTTGTTTGCTTTCTGCACCCGGGAAGCAAGAACCGGAATATAGTGTCCCGCGTATGATTCTCCAGCAATATAAAAGTCGTTCTTCCTAAATTGAGGGTGCTCCTTAAAGAATGCCTGTCATATATATTTACGTATGATTCGAAAAGTTCTCTACTTTTTTCTTTTTTTGAGTTGGTCTGGGAGAGTCACGATATATACCTGCAAAAAGTCAAACAAGGCATTGCTAACACCCTCTTCATCATGGGGAATGTCACTTTGGTCAGAAGAGTAGCTGAACCCTGTCCCAACGGGTTGGTCTACAAATATAATATTTGATACCTGCACAATTATTCAACGCATGTACTGATAAGGGGTGAAAGCTAAACATCATATCTATCATATGAAACAGATGATTCAACAGAACAGCTATATATATATATATATATATATATATATATATGTACACACACCTTGTCCCAACCATAGTCATTCCACGAAAGAGTTAAGTTTTGCGTAATATGAAAAGGACCATTCTCATAAAACAAAGCCAGCTGACTGCTGCAACCCGGTCCTCCAGTCAACCATATCACAACTGGGTCGTTCCTGCTGTTCCGAGATTCAAAGAATAAGTAGAACATCCTGCAAGTGTCACAAGCCTTTAATTAATATGATGACTCTTATCAGGGCAGAGAAGAGAACAAAAGCCAAATTTTAAAGCAATGAAAAGAATGTTTACCTTGCAGCTTTGGAATTAGGAAGCGAATAATAGCCAGCATGGTGACCGAAGTCTTGAACAGAAGGCCCAGGAGCAACAAGTTTAGGGAATATAAGCTTCGTCTCAACGACCCTATCCCCTTGGGGAACAAACAGCGTGTCAGCCGATACGATGTTGGTGGAATGTTTTGGGCAGAGGTTAAGGTTTCTAATAAGCTTCTGTGCTTGTCGTTGAGGAATAGATAAGGGAAGCTTATTGGTGGAAGGACATGTCGCAGATGAGATTGGTGAAATAGCGAAGACCAGAAAAGAAATGACAGATGGATTTGGGGAAGCTTGATGCAACTTCCATGGTTTCGCCTTGTGAAAGCTACGTTATTGGCTGTCAATTTATAGTGCTCCCAACGCCTTTTCCCTATTTATTTTAAGATAATGACTTTTACGTGTTCACTTGTGATGATTTACCTTTCGACTCATTTCATGGCATTGTGTGAGAAATCGTCGATATTTATTACATAAATGAGACTAAACCGTTAATGCTAATGAATCTTCCGTTTTTATGTTTTTAACTTTTTGAGTTCAAGTACAAATGCTGTTAATCTGTAAGCGTGTGATTTTCAGTTTTAATTTCAATTAAATGAATTGAAACACTGGTGCAGTGAATCTTCTGGATTCCATATTAGAATATTTGGTTCGTTGTATTCGAATTCAAATTCATTGATATAGAAGGAGACATTCATAGGGCATGTTGGGAATGTACACGCAAGTTTTGATTGAAATGAAAATGAACCGAGTTTTACCTACCCCTGCAGTTCGCCAATATATATATATATATATATATATATATATATATTATATTCCACGACTATATTTGGAAATTGTAACATTCTTCCGATTCATAATATAAAACTTAGTTAATAATTTGATTAAATTAAAAAAGTTAAGTGAGTTAATTAATTACAAAAAATATAATATGTTTTTCCTAAAATACCATAATCATTTTTTTTAATATCCTCTCTCCCTTTCTTACTTGATTATGATTAAGAAAATATTAATAAAAATAATTTAAAAAATTGATAAATATAAAAAATAAATTTTATATTTAAAATTAAGATCAACTCAATAATTAAATATTAACGGAAGAGTGATTCTTAATGCATTCACTTCATATTGCAGAGTCGATTGTGGGCTTGTATAATAGTTGAGCCATGTTGTTGAAAATACGGATCACATATTGGGCTTTTAAGTTGGACCGGCTTCCTGTATCAAAAAAAATGCATAGCATGCCAAAAAAAAACTCTTAATGGCCAGAAGAAAAATCTATCTATGTATCCATGTGTTATGCATGTTCATAAATGTTCATACACTGCACTATTTATAATTTATAAATTATAAACAATACACATTTGCTTTATAATTTATTGTTCATAAGCTGTATAAACAATGCGCTTAGCATTGAGCTCAGTGCAGTTTTTTTAAATTCTATTGTAGTTGTTTTTATTTCCTAATTTTCATTATTTCTTTCCTTTTTCTTTCTCGCACTCTGAATTTTTTTTTTTCACTTGGACTTTTATTCACATTTTGCCCCAGAATGGCTTCTTTAGTTCAATTCTTCCTCATCGTCATCTCTTGTGGATCCCAAGATCCACCAAGACTAGAATTGTTTTCTAATTCTAGGCCCCAGCCTCATCAGTCATAATAACTAATTCGATCAGTCCCCGTTCGCTGTCTCTTTTCTTGTAAACCACAAGGCAGAGGCTGATGCATTTTAAACAAAATCTATGATCCGGTCAGGCCCTTGTCCCCTTCAACATCTCTTTCCCTTGATTGACTCTTCCAAATTATAAGAACGATCAGAACATTAATCACAGTATATTCCACAAATCATTTTAACTCTAAAGTGGACACAAAGAATACCTCCTCTGCAGCCACAACCCTGTGATCAGGTTGCTTCACGCTTTCTTTCCTAACACATTCGAGCGAGCTATGAACACTTTATTCGCTTTTTCTTCTTCTGTGTCTTCAGATGGTGTCTTCAGATGGTGTCCACTAAAACTATAAGTCACAAGAGGCAAAATTTGCACCATGATTTGTTAATGATTTTAGTTTCTTACGAGCTTTTTGACCTTTTGAAGTACAGTAATTCTAGAAGTCGAAAGGAAAAATGCGTAACCTCATAATATAGGGCAAAGGATAATGTGTGTGGGATCAAATCCTGTCTTGTACATTATCGCTAAAGATTACATCTTCATGTAGTGGTTGGCCCATATGCACAGAATGTGGTCTCCACAATGTGTCTGCAACATTGAGTTGTGTCGGACCATTCCACATAATAATAACACCAATAAAAACACATGCAGACACACATCTTTTATTTATGAATTCAGGGTTATGTATTTGCTATGCTATGCAGGCTCCTTATTCTTCATTCTTCTCATGCTTT